GCCACGGGACGGGCCCAGGTGGGTGCCCAGGGGAAGGCCTTCACGGGACGCCTCGGAGCCCGTCCCGGGGACAGAGCCCATCTCACCACGGACTCGGTCCCCCACCTCGGAGGGTGCTGGCTCATCACCCACAAGTCCCTGGGTGAACCCCCGAGGTGCCCACAGCAGCCCTGACCTGACCCAGTCACAGATTCCCACCCCCCAACGTCCCTTCACTGCCATGCCAGTCCTCACAGAGCTGCAGGGCCCGGCAGCAGGCAGAGAGGGGGCAGCAGGCAGGGAGGGGGCAGCAGGCAGAGGGAAGGGGGCCACTGGCAGTGATCTGGGACCGAGAGGGGGGCCCCTGCCAGCCACCTCCTTCATGCTCCTGGCCCGGGTGTGTGCTGATGCTCATGGAGCGCGCTGTGCCCTTCAGGCTTTTGTGCTCGCGGCAGGGATTGCGCTTCTTGGTCCCGGGTCCATGTACTCCTGGGCCAGGCCAGCGTCGATGATGCGGACGGTGTCCTGCGCTTGCTGCCCGGCCCCACCAGGAGGTCCTCCGGCTGCACGTCGCGGCAACGAGGCTCTGGGTGTGCACACACTCCCCATACACGTGAATAACTGGATGGCGATCATGAGCACAGTCTTGAGCGTGATGTGTGGTCACGCAGATCGAATTGGTCCTCCAGGCCGGCCCAGCAGCTCCAGCACCATGGCGCTATACTTCCCGCGCAGGCCAGAGGGACCGGAGGGACACCCTCTGGGAGCCGAGCTGCGGGCGGAAGCTGTGTTCCAGGCACGGCTGCGGCGCCCACACCTGATGGGCTCCAATCGGAGAGTTCAGTATTCATTTGTATAGAGATTCTTTCTGAGCCGAGCTCCCCGAAGTTGCCACAGCCTATCTTCTTCCCGACCCGGAAGTTGGGGCCCACCATCAGGACCCCCAACTGGTCCCCGTGTGCCACCGCTGTGGCTGGTCTGGCCACCAGCCTTGGACATTCTCCCGCCCTCCTCTGACGCCCCTTCCCCTCTTGTCTTGTCAAAGTCCACCAGTTTGTTGTACCCTGGCCTCTCCACCGTGACTGCTGCTGGACAGACACCATGGCCCTGGCGGACTCCTGGCTGGTGAGATGTGGGAACTTGCAAAGAC